CTAGCAGAGATCACTTGTCAAGCCCCTAATGCAGGGGTGTCAAACTCACAGCCCGCGGGCCGGGTGCATCAAGTGCTGGCCCCACCCTGACTGATTTAGTGAAGAGGAAAAAGTCACATGACACTGCCATGACGCCGTGCGTTTGCCACCCCTGCTCCAGTGGTGAAATCCAATTTTTTTTACTACCGATTCTGTGGGCGTGGTTTGGTGGCCATGGTGTGGATTGCTGGGCGTGGCAGGGGAAGGATACTTCAAAATCTCCATTCCCACCCTACTCTGGGGCCAGCCAGAGGTGGTATTTGCCGGTTCTCAGAACTACTCAAAATTTCCGCTACCGGTTCTCCAGAACCTGTCAGAACCTGCTGGATTTCACCCCTGCTCTGCTCTAACGTATGGAAATGAATGTAAGAAGGAGCAGTTGATCATCATTTGCTCTGCTTTTAGAAAAAGTCATCAAGTTTTCTCTCTTCAGTGAGGTTTTTCATACATGTAATGTTTCCTTATACGTTGTAAGTTTTATCCATGACTATTTCTCTTTAATTGCTTTATTCCTTAAATTTTGGTCTGCAGTTAATCATGATGAAAATAATGTTTTTGCTGATGAGATATTTCTGAAATTTTTAGCACACCTTAAACCTTAAGAGGAACTCTAGGAGCAGCAACTGTTGATTTTTTTCCCCCAGTTAATAAGTGAAAAGTTTTATTTGTGATGGAAGTTCTTGGAACGCTCATTCCTAAGGAAAAAAAAAACCCTTTGGCTTTAAGCAACCTCATCTGCAGTTATTTTTGTCTCCTGTTTATCGAACAAAACCGATTTTCAAAGATGTGAGAAAGGGATAAGAGTCAAGAAATTGGCAGTTAAGATGATTGCTTAGATGATGGTGATAACACCAAAATAAAAACACTGAGTTATTTTAAAGTAAAAAAAAAAGTGGATAATTTGGTTTAGTGGGTGACTTGTAAAATAATTTTAAAACATTAAAATAAATGCCTGCAGAAAACATTGGGATCCCAGTCCTGCACTTATCCACTACAAAATCTCTTTAAATCAAAATCTATTATCAAAAAGCCTTCCCATTTCCCCATTGAAAGAATCAATAGAAGTCTTTATAGTTTTGATAAATAAACTATTTGTGGTTCAGCCAAGAAAATACAGGACAAAGGTAGCAACTAATCATTTTAGCCTTCCTTTGTTACTTCCACATAGAAGTAGCTGCCAGCTGCAAAATCAAAATAAATTAACAAGCAAACAAGAATGACTGATTAACTGTATTCATAATGTTAACACTAAACAAGAACATTCCCATAGTGCACACAAAATGCTCAATAAATCAACTCAAACTAAGGAAGTATCTTTGCAGTTTTAAAGGCATCTGAAGCTCAACACAAACCATGCATGCTAAAGCTTACCAAAACAGTTCACCTCCCAATGACCAGTGGTGGGATTCAGCCGGTTCGTACCACTTCTGGAGAACCGGTTGTTAACTTTCTGAGCAGTTTGGCAAACTGGTTGTTGGAAGAAATCATTAGGGCAGAGAACCAGTTGTTAAATTACTTGAATCTCACCACTGCCAATGACACTGATCTGATGAAACCTCCTTATTACAAGACCCATCACAAGACTCAGTGGTGACTCACAGCTGACCCATCACAAGACCCTCACTTGACACACCCACACCTGAAGCCCTTATAAACAGAAGAACACCGACATCCCCTAAACTCCCCTGAAGATGTTACCTAGCCTGGTAATGAAACCAACCCACAAGCTCGGCGAATGAACCTTCTGTTCTGTCCCCGTCCCCACACACACACAAACAGCCAGCCGGGGGTTAAAGAAAGACTCGGCACACACAAGGTTCATTATCAGGAACTTGGCAGCAATACGATAACCGTCTGCCAAGTGCTTTACTACAAGAAGAGGGAGTTTTCCTCCACCAGATAAACACCAACGAATACACACAGTTTTCAAAACAGTCCAGCTCAAACATGAAACCTTCAGCAGATCAGGCGTTGTACAAAGTGACCAGCCAGAAGTTAGCTTTGTCCGTCACAGAGTCTAAATGGCCACCACACTCTCTTATATAGCCTGTGGGGTGTGGTCCAGTGACTCAGCTTAATCCCTGGCACGCCTCCTCATCTGCTGCAAACGTTTATCTCGCCTTCATTGGTGTGGATCCAGGAACGACTTATCACCCACATCGCTGTCATCGGAGACACCTGGCTCCTGGTCAATCTCCTCTCCCCCGGCAGACACCTGAGGCATTGCCAGAGAGGAGGGGCCTGGAGAGGGAGGCCTGGCCGGCTCCTCTCCTTCATGTTCGGAGCCTTCTTCCTCTGATAAAATGGGCTCGGGGATCGGAGCCACAACACCTTCACCCTCATCCTACACCCAAACTATAGATATTGCACAGTGTTTGATTTTAGACAATTTCAGCCATGTTAGCTACAACTACAAAATACTTCCATGCATGTGTTGGAAGAAATGTCCTTCTGGGTTCAGTTCCAAGTGGGGAAAAAGATGCTGGATTCATGGAAGTTGCTTGGAAAGAAGGTTTATTGAAGAACAGGATCACATGGTTTGAATTCCTGAACAGAAAAAGGGCCGAGATGCTGAGAGTGCCTGGGTTTTAGGCCCTCTGTTGGGCTTTGAATTTGAGCTTGTATTCTGATTGGTTGTCAGACTCCCATGGGGGCCATGTAGGGCAGTGGTGGGATTCAAATTTTTTACTACTGGTTCTGTGGGCATGACATGGCTTGATGGGCATGGCTTGATGGGCATGGCAGGGGAAAGATACTGCAAAATCTCCATTCCCACCCAACTCCAGGGGAAGGATACTATAAACTCTCCATTCCCTCCCTACTCCAGGAGAAGGTTACTGCAAAATCCCCATTTCCTCCCAATCAACTGGGACTCGGGAGGCAGAGAATAGATGGGGGCGGGGCCAATCAGAGGTGGTATTTACCGATCCTCCAAACTACTCAAAATTTTGGCTAGTTCTCCAGAACTGGTCAGAACCTGCTGAATACCACCTCTGATGCAGGGGCAACTCTGTAGGCTGTGTTTTTGAGTCCCAAGCTTGGTTGAACCTTGCTGCGTGATGTAATCTTCCCAGGTGCCATGTGGTGAGATGGGTAAGGGCTAATCCAATCATGTCCCGAGGGCCATATCTTAATCCCATCACCCTGGAGCTGAAGGTCTTTTGTGTTGTAGACAAGATGTCTTTGGTCTTTCTGGGGCTATTAACAAAGGTGGGGGCCGTTTTCCAATAGCATGTTTCTCCTTTTCTCATCCAGAAAGGTATAATAATCTGCCTTTTTAATATTTCTTAGAATATTTAATTCTTGTAGGAGTGGGGTGGGTGCTAACTTCCTATACATGCAACATGTATACTTTCGAATTATAAGGTTGCATAGCCAAGTGTGGCTTGATTAGCTTACCATAGGTATAATCCATCCATCCTTTCACATGTAAGTTCCTCATCTTTTTTTTCAAAGGCCATGGCTTACTAATCAGTGTGGCAGTCTGTACTCACCGAACTGTGGTGGCGCAGTGATTAGAAGGCTATTTCTGCTGCCTACTGGCTGCCTGCAATTTGGCAGTTCAAATTTCACCAGGCTCAGGGTTGACTCAGCCTTCCATCCTTCCGAGACTGGTAAAATGAGGAGCCAAATTATTGGGAGGGGGGCAATATGCTGACTCGTTAAACCGCTTAGAGAGGGTCTGTAATGCACTGTGAAGCGGTATATAAGTCTAAGTGCTATTCCTATTTCATATACCTTTATCCAGTCTGAACTGGTTTGGTTGGTGAGAACTTGGCATAAAACAGTCCAGTCACAGAGTTGAAACAATTAAATCTCTGAAAACACAGCTCAAAATTAATCAAGTTGTGCTTTGTTCCATCCATCAAACAAAATTTTCTAACCAGTACCTTTATGGCCAGACTATCCAAACAATGATTTGAAGGTGCAACAATCTGAGGGCAAAACATTTTGCATCTTTTGTAAACGTAGAATCATAGAATTCTTTATTGGTCAAGTGTGATTGGATACAATCACAAGTAATAAACAGCAAGTAATAAGTCACAGATCATAGTAAACAACAATTGATAAATCATGAGAAACTGATAAGAGAAGATAGTAGGAAAGATGAGAAATGAGACTGTGCTTGGCACAAGGAAAAAAATTATCTTTGTATCTAGTACAGGGATGTTAAACTCAAGGCCTGCAGGCTGGATCCAGTCTGCAGAGTGCTTAAATGTGGCCCGTGGGGCCAGTCTGAAAATAGGAAAGGACCGGCTTGCGGTGCCTCTGGCAGCCAAAATGGGGCACGGGGGGACCATGTGTAGGCCCCCCCGCACCCCATTTTTGGCCTAGGCTGCCTCCTGCAGCACTCTGCCGGCTCCGTTTTGGCTGGCAAGGTGCTGCAGGAGGCTGTTCAGACTGAAAACAGGGTGCAGGGGGCTGCACGGGGGGCCCTGCCACTCCATTTTGGCTAGCAGAATGCTGCAGGAGGCGTCCGTCCCATCTTCCCGCTCCTGGCCAGCCGGCAGAGGAGAAGTACAATGCTGATCCAGCCCTTGAAGAAATACAGTTTTACACCCCTGATCTAGTAGTTTTGGCAGGTCAGTTAAAACTTACCATTCTGACTTTACAACCATGATGGGTCAGCTCCAATACAATCGTAAGTTGAGGACTACCTGTATACATTTCAGATCAATAATGACACAAGGGAAGGATGCAATCTCACATAAGACCCCAATTTCTGTCTCTGTTCTCCCCAAAGCAGATGGAGAATACACCATGTTTACCTGGTTCCCTCTTTCCAGCAAATATCAGAATCCCATTTCTACCCAAGAACCTTCATAAAGGTTCTGGTTATGAAAGATATGCATATCCTGATGAGAAAGATCCGTTTGCGTTGCCTAAGAAGCTGGATCCGTTAAAGATTTAGTGTTCTTATCTCCAGTTTTTGTTTCTTTTTTTGTTTCCAACCTACCCAGAATGCTCTGCAGCTATTCCAGGGATCCATGCCACATACGCTGCTCTTTTAAGACTCAGATCCGCCAGTTCATCTTACTCCTCCTCTGCCATTAACTCAAAGAACAGGCAACGACCAAGTTACCCTGCCATGGGAAGCATCTCCTCTCCAGATTGGCATGGGTCATCGCAGCCCTATTACCCACCAACAAACCCCGAGCCATTCTCAGAGGCCTTCAAACAAGAGGGTATGTACTTCACACACACACCCCTTTTCTCCATCCATCACACTGAAAAGATCTGAGATTGTGACGTGTTCAGAAATGATTTATGTTTTTGCACCTTCCCACCTAACTTCAGCAAACAACTTCCACCCTCTCCCATGTTTTCATAAATCTTAAAATAAGCCTTTGCACTATGTTTCCTAGAAGCCTATTAGTGAAACCATATGAAGGTAGCCCTGGTAAACTAGACTTGAAGTAAAACTGCATTACTGTCCATATTACAGAGCAGACCAGAGCAAAGCAGAACAGAATTCTTTATTGGCCAAGTGTGATTAGACACATAAGGTATTTGTCTTCAGTGCAGAAATTTTCAATGTACATGCAAAGCAATAGAGTAATAATCATAAGATATAATTATATCATATATGAATTGTGTGTGTATGTAGTTATTATTTATTTATTTATCTTATTTATATTTATATTTTGGTATTATATGATATATAAAATATAACAAGAGGAGATAGTCGAGAAGATGAGAAGGATAATGACAATACTACAGCCATACAAAAGTGGCTATATCTCCACCTTTGAAAATCAATATAGTGGGCCCTAGAAAACTAAACTAGTTCTCCCCCAATTGCCCCAATATTTTTACAGCTGACGCCATAATATTAGTCATGTACTGAAACTTATAGCTGTGAAGCTCTATATGCCAAAATATATTTCATCATCAATTATATTTTGTAAATGTTTTCCCAGGAGGAAATGGTGTTTCTCTGTGTGTTTGTGTGTGTGTGTTTGTACAGTATTTGTGTGTGTGTATGTGTGGAGCTTGTCAATCGAAAGATCGGCAGTTCAGCGGTTCGAATCCCTAGTGCCGGGTAATGGGGTGAGCTCCTGGTACTTGTCCCATCTTCTGCTAACCTAGCAGTTCGAAAGCACGTAAAAAATGCAAGTAGAAAAATAGGGACCAACTTTGGTGGGAAGGTAACAGCATTCCATGCGCCTTTGATGTTTAGTCATGCTGGCCACATGACCACAGAGGCATCTTTGCACAGCGCTGGCTCTTCGGCTTTGAAACGGAGATGAGCACCCACCCCCTAGAACATCTAGGACATATGTGTGAGGGGAACCTTTACTTGTACCTTTTATGCGTGGAGAACCTATACAGTAGAATAAATTATTCAGAAGTTCAGTATTTAGTATTAGTATTATTTTATATCAAAACCCATAAACACACCTACAGTTTATGGCTTTATTTTTTTATTTTTAAAGGAAATATTGTTACCTCTCTTCACTGCTGAGTTGTAGTTGCCTGATTTTTCCATCCCAGATCTGTCAATTCTCTATGACAAGCAAAGAGACATCTATCTAGGAAGCCTAACCCCTCATGAGTGTAAAGCCAGGAGTTTTAAGGGTATTAATTCCAAGGCTTCTATCAAGCTTAAAATGATCAGGTTGAAAAACTATCAGTTCCAGTCTTGTAGTTTAGGGAGCAACATCTCCTCGTCTATCTTTTCTCCCTTGTTGGACTTGGAGTACATGACCCTTAGCTCTTGCTTAAGTCCTTTTCATCAAGTAAAAACCACGGATGCCAGGAAAGCCCATAACACTGCATCAAAAGAGTGTTTTATTGTCTGTTCTACTATGTGCAATCAAATATTTTGTTATCTTTTTTCTATGAAATATAGAAACAGATATCCCCAGGCTCAAGCTACTAGAGTATCTTTTAGCTTTCAGTTTGTACCTATTCTCAGCCACAAGAATGATAGAAGTCTGAAAACCTGCTGAATTTCACACAGCGTTCAAGTATTTGCAACCACAGTATAACATTGAAATATGTTTGTCCCCTTTAGTGAGCTTTTGCAAAACTGATGCAAGCTTCATGTTTTCAGTCTTAAATCAAAAGGCACTAGTGCTCTCATCCAATGCCAATGGAAAGAAAATGTGTCTTAGCTAAAATCCAGGAAGGAAGTCAGGAAGGAAGTCAGGAAGGAAGGAAGGAAGGAAGGAAGGAAGGAAGGAAGGAAGGAAGGGGGGAGGGAGGGAAGGAGGGAGGGAGGGAGGGAAGGAAGGAAGGAAGGAAGGAAAAGAAGAGGAGGAGGAGGAGAAGAGGAGGAGAAGGAGAAGGAGAAGGAGAAGGAGAAGGAGAAGGAGAAGGAGAAGGAGAAGGAGAAGAAAAGAAGCCTTTCTGTTGCCTTCTGGCAGAATATACAGGACAATGAAAACTTGGACCACATGTTTTCTGAATAGTTTTTATCCCAGAGCTATAATTGCACTCAACAAGGAACTAAAGGGCCACCATCAGTGAGCTGTTGGACAGCATTATTTGGTCTGTTGTGTGGATGTTTGGGTGGTTTAGGGGTGGTGAATTGTGGTGGGTGGGAGTGTGTTTGGGGATTGTTATGTGTGTTGGACCTGGTCTTTGGGTGTTAAGTGAATTTCGTTGTATGGGTATACTGTGTATACACACAGAATGACAATAAAGTTATTATTATTATTGGTTAATCTTTAGTGAGATTCATTCAATTATTATTATTCAATTATTAAAATTATTATTCAATTATTAAAATTCTATTATTATTATTATTATTATTATTATTATTATTATTATTATTATTATTATTATGAAGGAGGAGGAGGAAGAGGAGGAAGAGGAGGAGGAGGAGAAGAAGAAAAAGAAATAATCAGATTGTTAATTTAATTGGATTTGCTGTTTATGTACATTAGCCTGAAATTTGCAAAAATAGATTCAGAAATAAAATCAGAAGGTCTGTTTCCACAGTAATGAAGGTTAATTGAAAGACTATGAGCACTCACAATCTGAAGTTGGTACATAGCAATTGTAAATTGAAAGCAAATAGTCCAAGAATGAATACAAAAGTGAAAAGTGATGTCCAGATTAATGAATAATAGCTGCTTTGGGGAACTATTGTAACACTTCACTTTCTATTAAATCAGCCAATCTCAAGGATTGTGTTCAGTTATGGAAATCGTGCTTTAAAAGGGCCAGAAGCAAACAGGCAGATATTCAGACAACGGCAACAAGGATGATTCAGGGACCAGAAACAAGTCTTATGAACAGAGATGAAGGGAACTGGATATGTGAGCAAAGGAGATTGAGTAAGGATGAGATAGCCCACTCTTATGATTTACCTGAAAGATGCCACCTAGAACCGTGATGGCAAACCTATGGCACACGTGCTGGAAGTGGCATGCAGAGCCATCTCTCTAGGCACGCGAGTCATCACCTGTTGCTCTTCTGGGCTTTCATGTGTGCGGAAGTGCTGGAAACTGAAAAAGCAGTCGCCCGGTGCACATGCGCGCGCTGGGAAGATGATTTTCTGATTTCCGGCGCATGCATGCACGCTAGCCACCTGGTCTTCTGGTTTCTGGCATGTATGTGCATGTGAAGACAGCTGGCCTGTGCGTATACGCACCGGAAACCAAAAAATCATCTTCTTAGCGCGTGCATGCGCACCGGGCAGCTGCTATTCCAGTTTCCGGCGTGCATGCTCCCGTTTCGGCACTTGGTGCTGAAAAGGTTCGCTATCAGTGACCTAAAACAAAAAGGCCCACAGTGCTCTCTTCTGTTCCAGAATACAGAACACAGAATAATATTTTTAAGTTCCACGAAGAAAACAAAAATTCCATTGGAGCTTCAAGAAAAATCTAACAGTAAAAGCAGTTCGAACAACCAATTGCCAAGAGAGGTAGCAGAACTGATTACCTCGATTTTCTCCCAGCAGGCTCTGAAACTGAATTACGTTTAGTTCAGGCTTCACCATACTTAGAACCGACTATTTAAATCAACAGCGTTGAGCTGTCAATCCAATTGTCTGTTAACAACAATAAGCTCCTTTTGGTACCTAATAGAATTGCCCCTTTTGGAAAAAAAAAAAAACCCAGCATGTGTATATTCTCTGCAAGGCCAGGAAAATGTGACAAGTTGAACAATTGTATTAAAACAGATTTCCAGTAAAAAAAAAAAAATGTATTGCAACATATTGGGGCTTTTTTACGTGAATGTTTTATTTATTATTTTTGAATATTTATATCCAGCTTCCTGTTCAGTAGCAATGAAGCAGTTCAAAGTGTTTTGAATAAAGAATAAAACAGCAGAATAAAACAATATGTTAAATATATATATATATATTTACACATTAAAGAAAACTATACTTTAAAAAGCATGAAGGGAAAGGAAAGGAAAAACAAAGCAAATTGTTCAACCATTGAAGGTCGTCAGTGGTCAATGAGAGTTCCTAATGAATTTCAGAAGAGAAAACATTCCAGACTGTAGATTGGAGGTGGTATTCAGCAGGTTCTGACCAGTTCTGGAGAACCGGTAGTGGAAATTTTGAGTAGTTCGGAGAACCGGTAAATACCACCTCTGACTGGCCCCGCCTCCATCTATTCTCTGTCTTCGGAGTCCCAGCTGATCAGGAGGAAATGGGGATTTTACAGTATCCTTCCCCTGCCACACCACACCAAGCAGCACCCACAGAACCGGTAGTAAAAAATGTTGAATCCCACCACTGCTGTAGATGTTAGAGAGAGAGTGTGTGTACACATGCTTTATTTATTTACTTAAATACCACTCAACTCTTAATGGACTTGGACAGATCACAGTAAGAAACTGCTAAGGACAAGGAGATAAGTATCAAAATAATAAGAATAAAGGAATAAAAGGTACAAAAAGAGAGAAAGAGATCCACACAATGCAAAGAAGTCTTAAGTCATCCACATTACTTGTAGTTTCTGTAACTACAAAAAATATAATTAAACATTTAACTCTATGTATGTTTATATATGTATACTCTAAATGTACAAGATAAAAGCTGTTAATGAAATAATGCAAAAAAATCAATATACATGTGAACAAATGAATACAAAATACTCAGGGGTTCTCTGCCCGGTTGCTGGGTGGGCGTGGCCATGGTGGGCATGACCTAGTCAGCCTCCTGAACCATGACGGGTGTGTGTGTTTTTGCTCTCCCCAGACTCTGGAGGCTTTTCTCAAGCCT